TGCAGCACTGGGGTCCAAGGCCTGTGCGGGTCAAAGGAGGTGTGGCCTGAGCTGCCTGCATCTGCATCGACATACCTCCTGAAGTGTGGCGCATTGTGGTGGCTTTGAAGGGTTCGTTCCATGGTTCGACTACCTTCACGAAGGTGGTTGCTGCAGTCAAAGACCAGGAACTCCAACTGCTGGTGCTGGAACTCCAGAAGTATTGCTCAACATAGGTGACCGGTCGTCCTATGAAGCACCAAAGCTCCAGAACGGAGCCCTCAGCTCACAAACCCCAAAAAGTTGTTTATATGGACCCCCATCTAAAGGATATCTTGGGGTCTGCGCAATCTACTCTAAAACCACTGTAACTCTATGGATAAAGTAAAATCCAAAACCTCAGTCCTTCATCCCGCATCCCCTTCTTCTCCCAGTTGGAATCCGCCTCTGCAAGCAGCTCGCCCAACATCGCCGCACCACCCGACCTCTCCGCGGTCGTGGCTCGGGAGGTTTCATGAGATTTCTTCAAGCGGGGCTCAGTTCACACTGGCACGTTTGGGGCTTAGGGCAGCTTTACATAGGGAATCTCCAAAAGGGAAAGTGTGGCAGGGCCCCAATCACTGGGAGCCAGCCGGTGTCATGTATGCTAGCTGCCGAGGTTAAGGCCCCCCAAACCTCCACGAAAATGCACCGGCCTGTTCTGCCACCGCTCATCCGCCATTAGGCCAAACAATGCTGGTGCCACCTCAGCATGTGATCGGTCAAGTCCAGGACGTCGTCAGAACAGGAAGAACAACTCAAACACACCATGTACTCAGATATGATCTACCAGTCGATGGTTCATAGCGCCAAATCATCACAATCCCTCTGGTCGGATGCTCAATTGTGATACGTTCACCAAGTCCCTCCCTTGTTGGGTCTCCTGGCGCTTGCCACGCTCGGTCGGGGTGCCGTAGCCCTTTGGAAGTGCATCATGTTGCCAGTAGAGCTCCCAGCAGGGCTGCCATTGGCCATGCTGGCTCCGCATCCTGCTCCCAACGCAGAAGGTGCATGGAGGAACTCTTGACAGATCAGTCCGAGCCTGCGCTGGATTGGGCACTAACAAACCTTAGCTTTCAAGTTTCAACTCTACCGAGAAACCGGAAAGGAAGGTGTACAAGCAAATTGAACAAGCATACCCCCCAACAAAATGTTCCATCTCATCACTTTTCCACTCGCCAAGACGCCCCAACCCCCTCAAGTTCGAGCTAATGCGTTCCACCGCGCCGCCTTCACTCACCTGGCGGGGATGCGTTCGACCACGGGGTTCGCAGAAAACCCGCCCTCCAGAAGGACTGCATATCTTCTGAGCGCGGAAAGCCGAGGGGCAAAGCGCAAGGGGTTCGCTGCCAGCGGCAGCTCCTGCAAAGCGAAGCGCTTAACAGCGTCCAGTGATGGAGGTGTTTTGGTGAGGTGGTGGGTGTTCGGTGTGTTGTTACTCTGTCCATCACCATCCTGTGCCCCGACCACCATAACCACGCCCCTACTCCGCCACCGCTCCTCATCTTCAGCTGAGCGAGGAGGTCTGGACTCGCCCGACTGCGCGGAGAACAAACCACCTCGGCGGAGCCGTCGCACAGCGGCCCTTGACAGGACTCCCAAGCGTTTCTGAAGCAAAGGAAAGGGAATGCAATGAAACTGCAATCTGTTGTTGGCATTGGTTCCCTCACCTCCGAAGCTCACCTTCTCAAACACCATTCTTGAGAGAGGCCCTTCACAAAGCAGTTTGCTCAGAAAACCGGGGCACTCTCTTGTTCCACATGGCCTACCAATGAACCATGATGCAAATGGCAGGTCAAATCCCGGACGCCGAAAGACTTACAATCGCAGCTCTTTTGAGATCCACGACTCCCAGTCTTGCCAAAGCGACTGTCAAGTTGGATCCTCTAAAGTGGACCCCGCCAACTGCCAAGAGTATCTCACCAAATGCCTAGAGTCTTCGAGAGTCGTCCAAGCGCGCAAGCGCGCTGGGTCTGGGTCGTCCACTTCTTCCTTCGCGTGGATCCACCCAAAGCCTTGGACTGCTGTTGGATGAAGACAAGCACTCGCGTTTGATGTGCATGAAAACGAAGACCTTCCACTGGTCTTCACGCGCCTGGCCACACACAAGAAATCCAATGGCGCTACCAAGTTGGTACGGATCTGAATAGGCTCCTATTTCTAACTTGACCAAAACCCGCCACCATGGAGACACTAGTGAAACCACACTGGCCTGCAATAAATCGTGATGATGACAAGAAAGCTGATTTCAAGACGACATCACAAAATGTGTCCATCAACAGTAGGCGCGTCCGTAAAACCAATCGGTGGCCCATGAAGCAAGGTGCAAGCGAAAGGCACGTTGTCATGAAGCGCATCATTGGTGAAGGAATTGATGACCACCAAGCACCAGCCAGAAAGCAAGTGTCACTTCATGAAACGTCATCAACGTGGGATACGCTCTTTGGGGATAATCATAGGTGCACCGCGACCGTGGTAGCCACCGCAAAAACCGCTTTATAGATAGCTGGACAAAATTCTAGAGCAGATCATCATCGCAGGCAAATGAATCGCCAATCTAGAATCTAGAGGTGCTGAACAAGCTCACTCTTCCACTTCCGCACTTCTACAGTAGAAATAAACATTCAACGTCATTCAACAAACCTGTGCCCCATCCAAACATGAGAGGAAACGGAAACATCATGTTTCCGCGAGACAGGGTATAATATGGTATGCTTGTGGGGGGGCCTCTTCAACTCTTTTTGGACTCTCAGCCTCAAGAACTCCAAAGACATCTCATCCCACTTTCCACTCATCTCCCTCGCTTTCCGTCCAGCAGCGGTGTGGCTAGGCCCTTCTCTTCTTTGCCAAGCCCTTCGCCCTCCTCAAATGCACCAACAAAATACTTCAGTTGAAAATAATGGATTCCCATGCTGCACAAGAGTCCAAATGTCAAGACAATCTTGCATCTCACACCCCTATCACAACAAATCCACGCCAAAAATCAGCAATCCAAACCATTCTACTATTTCCTGAATTTGGGGCTTTAGACTGCAGCTCACGCCGGAGCTGATCTACAGGTGCCCTGGATCTTCGCTAACGTTGCTCACAACAGCTGGATTGAAAGCAAACATCTGCTGCTCCTTCCAGCCCATCTTTTGCAACATCTTGAAGCCAAACCCCTCCGAGATAGGGCGATACAAGACCTGGCGGCAGCAGGAAATCAGAGGACCTTGTTCAAGAGGACCTCACCAAAGTGAACTACCGAGCTGGGATGTTGGGTCAGTATGGGTTAGTAGTACTTATGTGGCTTTTGTTCTGGATCCTACCCACCAAGATCAGGCGACCCGGGCAGTCGAACTATGACCTTTCAATATACATAAGGTCATTCATCCAAGCTAGCCTCAGCGACAGGCAGCACTCAAAGGCACTCGCACAATCATGCACACTGTGGAACCATCACGAATCATTGAACATACTTGGCACCTCTTTG